TCAAATTTTATATGCACCGAGGAAGGTATGTTTAGCTGACAGCCATAACCTGCTTTCGTAAACGGTTTTCAAGCCGATCTTATCGCCCTTTTTCAGCCGGATAACTCCACCTGTGTAAACGCTGCCATAGTCAGCTTTGTTTCCGAGGCCTGTTTGCATCAAGGCAAATGGTTCGCCATTTACAGTTATTGCCACACGGTTGTGATATTCAGGGCCGTCTTGGTAGATTTCAAAAAACACTTGGGCATAGATGTAATAGGCACCAGGTTGTTTTACTTCCAATAGGCCGTGTTCAGACTTGAAACCTTTAAATGCTTCATCGTTCTCAAGGTCAGACAGCCCTAGCAAAAAAGGTAACTAAAAGATTAAAATATGTTCAAACTGCATGTTAACCAGGGCTTAAAGGGGCTAAGTTGTGCTATTTCCCATCTCTCAGTTGAAAATCTAAAACGATCAGGTTTCGCATCAATCGAATTCTATAACCGCTAATGGTCCAGATTTGTCTTTTATGACTATATTTACGCATTGGAGCTGTTGCCTATCGTCTGTTTTTTATGGATAACCAGCGCATAAACATGGCTTGAAACTTGAAATAACGTTTTAATGCTATTATGCAAAAATCACCCAAAAACGATCATAATAAGTGCTCCCTGATGAAATTCTTAACTCTAAAGGAGCATTTTGTGTATGGGTAAACGCACTGAACTTTACAGCAACACATCCCCGCGACGTAGCCCCTTTAAACGGTTAGCTGTTAATAACTGTTGTCAGGCATTTTAATACTAAAATCTTACAAGTATCTGCAGTGAAGATGCGAGCCTCCGACAACGTCCCTGAAAGTTGCGCCAAAGGTTTCTAAAAGGAAAAAAATCTACGTCTTAAACTTCCATGGATTTAGACGTCCCTGCTTGGGAAAAAACTTTGTTAACGCTTAAAGGCTTAAACCAATTAACCTATGCGAAACTGTAGATCTAAGTGTTAAGAGTGATTTTCTGTAAAATTCGAACTTTGGCCTGACACCGGGTACCTCATCGATTTGGCTGATTTTTGGCATGTAGCCTTGGAATGGTGTCCTAAGTACTGAATGCATTTTCTAAGGTTTGAATTCTCTTTGCTTTCAAATTAAGTTAAGAAGTTAAGCCTGTAATTAGACCCTATCTATTGCTAGATTAATTTGCATATAGGGAAGTTACGAATACTTTCGAGGCTCTCATTAAAAGCCAACACATGTGGCTTAAATGGCTTGACACTGGAGGAGAAGATTGCGTTAGGGCGTTAGGGTTTTTGCCTTTGATTTCTCCAAGGCTTTTGACTCAGTGAATCACTTCATAATTGCCCATCAATCTCTACATTGTTAATTGGATGATTAATTTTTCATTTAATAGACAACAAAGAGAAACGACCCCCCCTTTAAGCCTATAAACAGAGGTGTGCCTTAGGGCACTATACTTGGACCAAGCTCCCCAAGAAGTGCAAAATACTCAGTTGGGCCCTGGACAACCTTATGACTATAAACCTTACTAAAACTAAGGAGATGGTTGTTAAGGGTAAAGTTGAGAGACCCCTCCCCACTATCACTTTTGATATCAATCAGGAAGAATTTCTTAAGCTTTTAGGTGTTTGCCTTCATAGTAATCCTACAAATCGGGACAAGCAAATTGATGCCCTTCTTAGCAAAGCAGGGAGGCGTATACACATATTACGAGTGTGCAAGAAACCTGGCTATAGTCTAGACTTTTCTACAGCACCTCTTCCATAGTTTGATTATACCTATTTTTACTTATAGCATTTTAGTAAAGAGTGTTGCTAGATATGATAAGTATCTTTCCAAAATTGACAAGTTCAGAAAAGAGCAGTTCGTTTTGGTTTCCTCCTTTTACCGCGGCAGTGTTAGCTCAGTCGGTAGAGCGTGTTGACTGCAGAGCGGGAGGTCGCGGGTTCGATTCGTGGGGCCGGAACAATACTCAGGGTCTTAAAATAACCGAGAAATGAAGGTACTCCCTTTGCACTGCAACAGGCTAGACCTTCGCGTGGCTCGGATGACCACGTAAAATGGCGGTCCCGTCCCCAGTTGGAGACGTAAAATATAGTGTCCCCAATCGGTACTTTCGTGCTAATATATTGACACTCAAATAAAATGTTTTTTTTTTTTTTTTAGAGTCCTAAGATAATAGGTTATGGAAGAATATAACTACGTCTCTTGAAGGCCCTTTGGTAGATCTCCTGCCACCCAATAAAACAAGTTTGCTAAGGAATCGTGGTCATTCCTATGTTCTTTCTCAGATTAGGACCGAACGTTTTAAACGCTGTTTTATTAATAGATGCCTCTTCAATTTTATTTAATTGCCTATTATAATCCAGAACGTTTGTTTTTTGGAACCTAATAAAGAGCTTTTTATTTATTTATCTATTTAATATTTATTTATTGGCAAACTGAAAGAGGTTTTCAATAATTAATTCTAGCCTTATGATTAAAATAACTTAATCGTGACTCGTACAGCTGCAAAGAACTATACCTTTCCTCTTTGCATTTACCTACTTTTATCAGAAAATGGTTAAGCCTGAGCTACGAACGGCTATAGTTTCTCACAGCATTTTTTCGGCACTTAAAAGGTACACAAAATTGGTAGAAATTGGAAGGTCAATAATTATATCACCCATGCCACATCGATTTAGAGTATTAGCCATTTTAACTAAACATAGTTTGTTTATAGATAACTTAGATTGTTGAAAAAAATTATTGGGCAAATGGAACGGAGCAGAACTATAATAGCATAAATGCGCAATGTTTCAGCCACTTGGCTGATAACAATTCCAAACAAATATTCGGTGAATATTTGAAAAGAAAATCCTTAACTCTCGGACGTACACGCAAAGTCATACCCCCACCGTGGTACAAGAAGGGGGGGTGGATGGAACCCCTCCCCGGAGTTTTTGATATGTTGCAGTATTTCGAAACGATTTTACCTTTAGTGGAAAGCCTTTGATCTTCTTAACAAAATGAGAAATGGTATTTTTTTGCGCTTTACATGAAAAATAACACATAAATGAATTATAAATAAATTACTTTTATTGTTGAAAAAAGTTGAAAAAACATGTACTTTCACTCAAACATGGCTTGTCCACCTGCTACTTATGACGTCATATCTCGTAACCATAAAACTTACCATAACAACTGACCATCACTCAGCTTGTCTCAAAATGTGCAGGAGGGATGAACGAAAAGCTAATGAAAACTTCAGGTGCTGATGTTTTATCCTCTAGGAAAGCCATCACGCCCGCATGCGCATAATGCACAAAGCTACCGAAAACAAGTGGTTTCTTTAAAGAGTAAGAAAGCCATTGTTTTGAAGCCGTTTATTAGTATTATTACGGTGATATCTCGCCAGTCCAAAAAGGAGAGATTGCGGATTCAATTTTATACCTAACACAGGATGTTTTCTTCGAAGTACTTGACATTGTAGCTAAAATTCGAACCGTGGTGGTCACTCGTGAAGATGGCGATCGTCGGAAATGAAGACGGTGGTTGTGCAAGGATTCCAATAAGCCCTTCATTTCCTAATCTGCTGTACACTGTTTGCAGATCTTCAAATGTCAGCCCTCTTCTTTCAACCTTGTTCTTCTTTAGGGATAATTTCGACAGCGACGTTTTTCTTTAAAAGTCTGCTGTAAAAGATGGCGCCGATCTATAAATCGTACATCATTTCCTAAGCTACACGTACAAGACCGTAGGTCTCGACGGACAACTATTGCTTTTGTCAAGGGACTAACTGTGAGTAAAAATTATTTCTCGTTGTGCAAAAACATTTTCTAGTGCGTCTTGCATGTGTGGTGAAGGATGTTTGAAAGAAGAAAAAATACAAGGATGTTGGTTTGTCGATGGAAAGGTTCCTTCGATTAGGATGCAAATTTAGTGTGAAACCTTTTTTCTGATAAGTATTTTAAACAATGTGATAGAGTCGGCAAAACAACCAAAAAAAAAGTTTACACTCCCTTTAATCTTCTCTTAAAGCCACTTCTAGAATTACTTAAATCAAATCAAATGTACGAGAAATAAAGTGACAGAGGAGCTCCGCCAGTGAAGACAATCTTCAGTGTTTCTTCGGGAATTGTCTCGATCTTTCCGATCTTTCCACTGACCGTGAACCAAAGGCAAGAAACAGCAACACTGCTTCATTCTGGGTTAGTGTATTTACTTCTTTGTTTTCTTAGTAAAGTTTCCACTCACCATTAACGTTTGTCTACTTTTGAAGCAAAATTAAAGAATTGATGTCTTTGGAAAATTTCTGCTTTGTTTTTACATACAATTTACTCTTATGGAGATCGATAGTGACTTGTTTTCGGTGTAACATTGTCTCCTCTCATGAATTTTTTACCTACTTTGGTCAAACTTTTTGCACAATAAGCTTCAACAGAAAGTTAATACAGGTTAATTTTTTGGTTGGGAATATTTCGAAACTGAGAGGCCATTTTTTTTTTCATTTTTGCGTGGACGACGCGCGGATTTTAAAGCTGGCGCCATAGTAGTGCTCAGGCTGCGCACCGCCAATTTACTCTGGGGAGCCACCTTAAATGAACAACCTTAATCAAGTTCAGTCTTCTTGCTTCAGTCTTCTTAGCCGACTTTGAACAGAAAGTTGTTTTTTCTTTTCTCTCTGGACTTGCATGTATTCTGCCTTTCACTCAGTATTTTCTCGTAACTTTTAGTTTTATAGCAATGTGGAACTTCAAACGCTTTTTTTAGGGATATCACCCATTTTGTTAAAAATCCCGTCTGAATTAGGGTATCGAATTTTTACTCAGGTCTGAAAAAGAGTAGGGAAAAACACAGATTTTGGTCTGAAATAGGGTAAGGGTTTCAGGAAGCGTGGAGCACACCCCACCCAATTTTTCTGGAAGTACCCCCCCTCCCCCCCGGGGGGATCAGAGGTCACGTTTGTACGCCCGTTTTTAGAGTAACATTTGCATTTGCTTCGCTTCAGGTTAGCACTCGTAATTTCATTTGCCCCCAAATTTTATTTCACTAATTTGAAGAAAAAATAATGATATGCGCTGGTGGTGAAAGCCATGTGCCCGTCCGCTTTTTTGGCTCGTGAAAAAGTGCTAAGTTTTGACCGTTGATTAAGCGATTTTGAGTCAACGAGCTTGACATTTTCTTAAAATATCTCTTGTTGACCAAACCGCGAATTAATTAGTTAAAATTTTAGAGGAAAGACAGTAAAAATATGAAGTGTCCTTGTATTTTACTAGCCAACTTTATTTTAAAATATACGAGCCACTGAATTTGACTCTAATTTCGCATGATTTTTGCCTATTTTAGGCCTCGGGAACAACAATCGTTAAAAAAATTCACTCGATCGCACTTAAACCAACCATTTGGTAACTAGGGCCCATAAAGGCTTTATTCTGGCTGAGTTTGAGGCCAGGTCATTTTTTGACTATTTCCACATCTAGTTGATAGTTACGCGGCGCCGCTCTCAAGAACTTGCCATTACATTGTAGTATTTTATTTTTTAATTGTTATATTTTGCCCTTGTTTGACTATCAAAATGCTGACATAGTCAGGAGGGATCGGGATAATGAGTCTTTAATGTCACTACAGGTTTACAAGTATTACAGACCAAAGCTGCACGTATCATCTTAGACCTTTCTTATCGATCGTCTGCATGCAAGTGCTGCCTCAGGCAGGCTTTCCTGGGTAAATCTCAAGATAAGAAGACGGTTGCATCGTTTAATATTCATTTATAGCGGAGCACCATGGGTAAGAAAATTTGGTAAACTATCCTTCCCAAAAAATTTGGTTATGACGTAGCGTACGCCCGTCCGTACACACACTTCATGTAAGCCGATGTCAAATGTCACAATAGATCTTTCACAACTTGACTAGCCTCTTAGTTATGTAAGCCATCCGTATGAGTACGATTAGATTGACAGCTGTCAAAATCAGACATCCGCTGACAATTATCACATGACCGTCTCGCGGGCTCAGATAAAAGACCAGTCGTTTTGCCCCTATATATAATATGTCACACTTACCAATTCAACATAACAACGAAACTACGCCGGGCAAGGCTGTCAGTTGGCTGACAGTCGTTTAAAGTTACATTGGCAGGCCAAATTAAGGTCAATTGACGGCTGTCAAAATGGGGCATGTGCAGACCGCTATCAGAAAACTAAAAACGAGGGCTCAGGTTCGCTCAGGTACACGATCTGGCATTTTCCACTACATGCCGGACGGAAATGTCCTACTCACACTCGTAGTCTGTTAATTCGAATATTCGCCATTCTAATGAAGGTTAATTGCCAGCTGTCAAACTAGAGTATACGCTGACCATCATCACCTGAGTGGATCGCGGGCTCATTTTTCTATCTATTGAGGTCACGTAGTGTTCAAAGTTTTGCCCTGATATTTTATTTGATCACGGGCTTAATTCGAAGCCCCGTAGCTTTATAGAAAATCTATCCATCCTAGAAAATTCGGCAATCACGTGACCGTACACCGACCACCCGACCTTCCGTCCGTCCGCACCACAGGCATACCAGTGTTTAATCTCACACTTTCTAGCTAGTTTGGGAGCCTGCGACCTGATATTGTACATCCATGTTTTGATTAATTGACAGCTGTCAAAACAGTGTTTCTGCTGACCAGTATCGCCTGACCCTATCGCGGGCTCAGGTATCGACCCTCTGAGTTCGAGTAATATTTTGAAGGTTTTCGCTGACAAGTTGCTACTTTTCAAATGATCGCAGGCTCAAGTTCAATTTTTTTAAAATGCATATGAAATAAGTCGTGTTTCATGAGCCGCACTTTTAAAATGTTGATTTCGAACTGATCTCGGACACGAAAATTCAACCGGCTTTTACATTTACATGCAGGGAAGGCAATCGGTTTTGACTTTTCTCACTGTCACGCGTTGATCACGCTCTACGTCCAATTTTTATGTTCTGATTGGTCAAAATTTGACAGGTGAGTTTATGGGGAAATTTTTTGCAGCGTCTGGAAACTTGCTTAGTGATAGCTGGAGCTGAGAGAGTTTTGTGTCATCTTGTGATGTTTTAAACTGTCTTTTTCTACTTGGTGTACAAAATGAAATACAGCTGCTATCAAGATTGTTCTGTAATTCGTGGCTGGTTTGTTTATTGCGCTTTTTGTTGACAAATGCACCGCTTGTCAAAGTCATTGGAAATCCGATTCGGATAGCATCGTTTTCAAAAATGAGCTTACTCACTTGCCCTTGCTTGAGGCGTAAGAAGGTTGAAAAGTCTCAAGCGATTCTGGAACACTTGATGGCCTTCAGAAGCAGCATCTCGACTGGTAAGCTTGAGCCATTATTGTTTTTGATGTGTTTTTTTTTGTTTCGGTTCCCTGAAGTCGAGCGTATGGTTTATGCGGCTTAAGTTAAAACACGCCGCAATGATCTAACCTACAATAGTATCAGGTTTAAAAAGCCTTTAGACATTTTTTGACCCGCAAATTTAAAGGAAAGTTTCCGAAGATTATTTAGTTATGATTTTGTCTGTAAACAGAAAGCTCTGAGCGATTTTCTTGCCTCGAGTTCATCTTGAAAACGAGCGAACACCGGAAAGCCGGCTTAAAACATAAATAAGCTTATGCTTGCCTGACTCATGATTTCCTGAGACACCTTACTCTCAATACTTCTCTTCGTGAATGAAAATTATTGTCTCTGTACATGTTTCACCGAATTAAACTTATTTTATTGATTGTTAGTAGTCCCTCTCGCAATTTTCATCGCTGCACCGGTTGTTTCCAGTCGAACATAAACATCGCATGTAGGAATACTCAAAACGCCGCGCATAAATATCACTCGCTTTTAAAGATTACACATAACAAAATCATACACAGTTTAATGAATAAAGGGAAATAAAACCTAGACATACTAATTTCTCTATCATGTTGAAGCGTAAATGGTAACTCTATTAATCGCACTGCAAATTTGGTGCCTGTCAAAAGTGCGAACCCCTCCGGCTGGCCGAAAAGTGATTTTGGGAATTTTTTTATCGTTTTCATTAAAGCCCATAATTATTACCCCGCATATCACATAGGACCAGATTTTTCTAACAGAAAACGTTTTATAATTCAATGCTATAATTTGTTGTGCAAAGGAAGCGCGTGCTTTGATCGTCGTGGATATTGAATGAGTGCAAATTCTCTTGCAAAATTGGGAAAAACTGCAGAATTATAGGTTTAAATTGGGCAAAAAAGAACAAATTCTGTCCGAGGTCTGTGTACTGTTTACCTGAGACGTGATGCGAAAAAGTATGTTTAAAAGGCTGGTTTACACGCCACCAGGTTCGTCGCCAAGATTTACTAGTGAACTAAACTTGTCGAACACAAAAAATTCGGCCTGATTTTTATTTTGGCCTCTCTTTTAGACAGAGGAATGCAACGTGTAAATTGGCTGCCACCAAGGACTATCGTGGCACATGTGTTTCTTAAAATTATATTTCGGGGTTGTCCAATTATCCATAGTCTCTCTAACGGAGCAATGTTGGAGAGACTGGTGAATGCCACATTACGGATGCTGCTAATGCAAAGACAATACACGAATGGGTCTAATTATTTTCCAGGCCTAATCTACTGTGATCGAACATGATTGCTATTTTTCGGTGTACAAATAACTTGATGTAAAATTTGTTTCACTCTTGGACGGTCAAATTCTGATATTTCTCTAAAATCAATCAGCCTTTGCCTCAAAAGTCAAATGAATGTGCCCTGATCTGTGGATTACAAGTTTATTGTTTGATTTAAATTATGAATTTATTAACGGGAGCTTCGCTTTTAGCCCTGGCTAAATCTATATATTAAATATAGGAACAACCTTTTCTCACCTAGGATTGATCTAAGATATTATCAAGATTTTCATGAGTATAATTCCAGATGTAAGTTCAACATACGTTAGACTGATGCTAAGCGCAAATGGAGCCATTGGACATCAATTAATTTTGCTACATGCAGTAATGACTGGAATGATTTGAATCATGATACACGCAGAAGCTGCGCCGGGATATTCTTACTTTTAAGAAGCTTATAAAGGGGAGGGGGGCTACCTTATAGTAATTTATATTTATAAATATCTATATTTAGTAGTTTTAGCATCCCTCTATTAAAATAATCTCAGATTTGTATGTTTAGGTGTTGTTGGATTGAGGGAGGATATTTAGTTTTTAGTAGTAATTTTTATAGTTATTTAACTAGTTTTTCTTATTGCTGTTTTGCTTCCATTTATATTTATTTATTTATTTCGTTTTCTCAGGACCCTATTGTAAAACACATAAGTAAAGTAGGCTGAAAAAAGATTGATTATTATTTTTGTACGTATATTTATTGTTAAAAAGCCCGGAAACGGAGAATTTTATTATTTGCTGATGGGATCTTTCTTACATCGTTTCGCGTCAGCAATTGGACTAGCTAAACTCATGACTTACCTTGGGACGAGGCTTAGCATCCGCCGTTGCAGCAAGGATCGCCAGCATCAACAAAGCTAATACAACTTTTCGCATTATGCGTCCAACAAGATATGACAAACTGCAAAATATACCAAAAAAGGCAGGATAACGGGTTTAAAAACAGTTTCATGGGTTTTAGTAACAAATGTCCTCTTAATAAAAAAACATTTTTTCCTTTGGGTAAGTGGATGTCTAAAGTCAAAACGTCGTGATGGGGCTTACCTTATTCTCTAAGAGGAGCAGAAAGACATTTGATTTTTAACTTCGTTGCTGTATTGATAAATAGGCAGCGTGCATTTTTTCATATCCACGGTAACTAGAACGCTCGTCAAAACATTTGTACCATCCAAAGGGTGTAAACGTTTTTAATCTGGAGAAACTTTGCCGCGGATAGAAGGGTTACTCGACTACTTGAGCCAACCATGCAGGGCGAGCCAGCGTTTTCTATGATTCACCCTTTCCTTCCTGGCGAACCTTTTGCATGAAATATGGCCCGGCTTTTTAAAAGTGACCCATTTAATCATTTCTCACCCTCCTAGCTTCTCCTGTGTGTGTGCGTGGTGTTTTTATAAATGTGGGGACAAATTAGATTCAGGACCTATTCAAAACCTCTGGGAGGAGACGAAAGATATTTGATTTTTGACTGCGTTTCTGTATTGAATGCGATGAATAGCGTGCAGTTTTCCTATCCACAGTAACTAAAACGCTCGTCAAAACATTTGGACAATCCAAATGGTGAAAATGATTTTTTTAATATAAATGATAATAAGTGTTGTGAACTACCATAATGATTATATATTAACGTAAATCAATGTTTACATAATAAATCCGGTAGTGATGGGGTTCCAAATGCAAATTTATTCAATTTTACGTGTCTCCTGATCGATTTTGGCCAAGTGTGTGTTCATCCGCGAACGAGCTCCAGCAAAACTCAAATGCTTTCTCTGGAGAAGAATATACTCCCATAATTTTGACTGTTTTCTTATAAATTTATCACGTTGGTACATTTTTACGTCACTATGGAAATTTTTGTCGCTAATTCGTAGACGTTCCCCCTCACGAAACGTCCCCAGCGGCGACGGAGAGAGGAGAAACGGCTGTTCTCGCAGGCTACTTCATCTATTCCTTAGACTTAGTTTGGTTTGATCGCCATGGTCGCTGGCCACATTTAAGCAAAAATGCAGGTTCATGGCACAAGTTTGTCCAAAAACCCTCATCAATGTAAAGCAAAATGTTAGGACTAAAACACAGAAAACTAATACATAGAGTTAGCCAGAGCTAAAAGCAAAACTCTCGTCACATTTTTTTTTTCTTTTTCAAACGGCGAGTTGGAACTATTGCAAAGAAATTCACAGATCTACACTTGACTTTAAGGGAGGACCATATGACGTTTGAGGGAACAATTGCCGCTGAAAAAAATTGAAAAGTAAGCTTGCGATCAGTTAAAAGCTAACAACTGGTCAGGGGAAAACCTTACAAAAACAAGTGACCTTACTTAAGATGAAAGCTGGGCCTGCGATACGGTCGTATTACACTGGTCAGCTGTCAACTGACCATAGCATTGACCTCCATCATCAACTGAAACGTAGTTTGCAGGCTAAGAAAATGCCATTTTGCATTCAATTTGATTACCCTCACGGACGGGTGGAGGAACTACGGTCACGTGACTACCAAAATGTCTTGGATGCATTGATAACCAAATTTTCGTACTCCGCCAAGAAAAACAGAAACTATGTAACCCTGCAAATACGCATGTCACATGTTCTCCTTTAAGTGATTTAACTAGTTGATAAGTTTGAAAAACGTAAATTTTAACTTCTCTTCTCAGAGAATCGCATCAGGCTGGACAGACTATTCTGAATAATTGTTGCTCCGGCAAATAGCTAAATACAGCAATTTTTCATCAATAAGAGGCCTAAAACGCACGTAGTTCCAGTTGTCCGTAGTTTCTAATTGGTTAAGTTTGAATTCGCGACATATATTTTCGGGAAACCAAAATTGGAGCATTCTCTGGAATGGGAACGTGTTCCTTTGAATCGTATATACATATCAACCCACAGCAGAGCATTTCAAACACGTGACGCTTGAAACCTTTGACCAAGTTGTTAATAAATCCGTGTAAAAAAAAAAGTTAAAAGTTTAAGTTGAATCGAAACTGGTGTATAAGCTTGTGGTAAATTAAAAAAATGCCACTAAGCAAAATGAATTTTGAATGCTTCTATTTCTTCTTTTTTGTGGGGGCGGGAATATGGCTGTCCATTACAATAATAATTAAATAATGATAAATAACGGGATCGATTAAGTAGAATATATAAAACGATATGTAGCGAAATTCAATATAGAGCAACAACAACTTTATTTCTGCTGTGGACAACTAAGAGACAATACAAGAAATATAATTATTGATATTAACACATACAGTGGTTGGACACCCAAAATAACTATAAACCTGAACTAGTTAGGTGACGATAAAAGTGAATTTTTATCATATTTCTGGATCACCTTCCAAAATGAATTAATAATTTATAAAGAAAAAACAAAACAAAGCCACGTTTATATCTGATTAAGACACGCCTTAACTTTACGTACAATTTTTTAGACCAAAATAGCCTCAAATCTAAGCATTATCGCAAGAATGAGTTTATCTATATCAAAGATTTTGAAACCGTTAAAAAAAACTCGCAGTCGTGAAGTTTTAGATGTAAAAGCTCTCGGCTTCGCCCTAATAATACACTTCTGCTCGTTTTTTAAACAGTACAAACCTCTTACAAAACAAAGAGCACTACATTAAAAGTATCATTCAATGTGAAGGGACAGATAAAATTGGTGCACTCAAGAATGATAATACGAATAAAACTCAGATACACTATTTCTTCTCAAGAGCTTGAATTGCTACAATTGCCCGGACGCCGGGCGGAGATCCGCTGGTCTAAGGACGCTAGGACCGGATGAAGAAGAAAGGGAATAGAAAACTTGTCTGCAAAAATATCTAAGTAAACATAATTTGTTGGTAGTGTGTATCAATGATAATGGTCAAGAGGACTTTGGGGGGATCACTTCATTTTCTAAGAGAACAGAAGAGGGGGGGGGGGGCATTCGTAATTAGAAGCCCAGAATGGGGATCCTTGAAATTTTTGCAAGGGTTCAGAGGGGAGACCACTAAAATTTGCTTGGACAATGCTCAAATGGTTGGAAAACTGAAGTGGTCTCGTCTCAGAATATTGGACTTGGTCTTCAACTCAACATGCTTAGCTTTTTAATCCAACTTACGCACTACATATTTCGTCCTCGTGTTCTACTACATCCCATAATAATTAGTACGGTAGTACATCCCATAATAATCGCGCAACAGGTAGAACGACTTCCGGTATACTACAGAAAACGAAAGTAGCAGTTAGCCTGCTGATATATGAATCAGTATTGTTCAAAAGAAAACATACTTGATCCTGGTTATTGTGATTTGTACGTAGCTTTTACTAACTCGTATTCAGCATCTTCATCTGTCTCATCTTGAGTCCCATCATCCAATTCAATCTCTTAGCATCTAGAGCCTTATCTTCCGATTCTTTGCAGCAAGTCGACTTTAAATTTTGTGCCCTAAAAAAGGCCGCCATTAGCCCGAATTTCAGACCATTACTTCGAGTCCTTTTTACTCTCTCAGTTGCTGAGAGGAGAAAACGACTCGAAGTAATCGTCTAAAATTCAGGCTAGACCGCCACTTGCTCTAGATTTTTTGCTAGGGTCGTGCTAAAAACACCTTTTTCTAACAGCCACAGCAAAGGGTCTAGATGTCAATGCCTTTTTAGCGTCTTAGCGAAGTCAGCATTGATGCTGTCTAGAAGTGTGACCTTATTATTCTCTTCGATTGAACAGAAAATTTATGCCTCGAAAAGTCCAGGCAGGGGTCATGAGTTGCTGAGCAGTGAAGAGGATAGCAAGGAATAAGATGTTGAGGGCTTGCGAAGCTCGCTTGGCTTTTTAACGAGAGGACCAAGACTCTGTTCTTACTCTTTAGACAGACGTTTATTCTTCAACAGCTTCTGACTGCAACTCTACTACTCAACTAATTCTACTAGCCAACACAGCGAATTAAATAACCAAATTGTGGACGTGTTTGGGTTAGCTGACCATGAGACCCTTCCATTGCATATCCTGTCGCTGAACTTGTGAACGATAGAATAGTCTACACTGTCGCAATTAACAAGTACTAAAGAGCCAATTGAATGCTAGGGGTAAAACTGCTCGCTAGGACCAAGCATACAAAACAGGAACTTCAGTGGAGGCAAAACTCAAGGTCAGCTATAATCCCCGAACATGCTTACTTCAAAGAACTACAATAAGTTTAACAAATCCTTTCGATAGAAGATACTTCTCAAAACTCAGGAACTAACCGTGTGGCCTATACATTGAATTTCCTTGGACTATGAACTGTTTATTAAGAAACTAGCACGTGCTACAAAATAATCATTCGGATAGAAAAACCTGAAAAATACCAAAACTCCAAAACATAACTAACAGCAACTACTTCATAACATTCCTCCCGCCTAAACTGACCATCGTCCTCGATGCGGACAGGAGAAAAACGGATACACTACTTTAGGATTATACGGTAATTAAGTACTTATAGAAGAAAAGAAATGTCTCAAAAAGGAAGAGAAAAGAGTTTACGACATCTCTTCAGCTGCCACTTTTCCGCTATGAGTATATGTGACGATATACTCGTATGCGCTCTCCGGAAACGTTGCCCCACAGTGGCATTTGATGCATATGAGGTGATTGCAGCGTAAAACTGTCCAATCAAACATGGCGGCACCCTTCATCTCGAAACAAAAAATGCACACCCATTTTGCTATGTGGCGGATACGTTGCCAATCAAGATCCGTTGATAGTACCTATAAGTACAAAAACATTGCAATAACAAAAACTATAAAGATGCGATGTGACAAAACGGTCAATTCTGCTCTAACTCTGTCAAACGATTGCTGACGAACTGCTGGAAATTAGCCGAACTATGAGCTAACGACAGGTCTTCAAAAATAAAAATTTCTTCATGCTCGTGTGACGCAAAAGCCATAACGTTACGAGCTAGAAAAAGGTAACCGAATGTTTTCAAAGCAAACAACACCTCGCAGACGTAGCGCTCGTAAATCATGAAATAATGACAAATATGCACGAACTCGACAAGGTTATCTGCCTCCCAATTCACAGATCGACCAAAACCAGAAAATAACCCTAAAAACAAATCAATAGATTGCCACGAAAAAGAGTGATTTATATGAAATACAGCTGTTGTTTGCCTTGAAGAACGACTGTCACACTCATACTTAAACGACACGAAGCGATCACTAACTGAAGCTAACTGAGTAGCCCCAATTTCATCTAAAAACCTCGAAAAATTAACCAAAGTTAAATTGATACAGTAATACATCATCGGTAAAACAACAACAAAAAACGCGAGAGCTGTCTTGTCCGGAAAAGTCTTGCTACTGCTCCTTTGCTCCAAATCGTCGCGGATCACGACACTGTTTACTTGCAGCTTTTTTACGACGATCGTTCTATTTATTTATTTATTTATTTATAGATTCGTACAATGTACAGGGGAGAGAACAATAGGACACGTAGTCCCCTACTTGGTTCACCCTCCTAATCCAGGCCCATAAAATGTAGAAAACCCAACCCCTTACCCCTAAAAACTAGAATTAAATATTAATAATATACTATAGATATCAACCTAAGAAGTAGAAAGAAAACATGGAAAAGGTAATAAATCGTGGACTACAATCATACTAACAAGAGCAAGCTTTTAAAGTATTTACACGGCGACACTTGGGACAAATAATCTTGAAAGAACGTACATTGTCGCCATCAAAAATATTATATAATCGCTTAAAGTAAAAAGATTTAAGTTGGCGTTTGAAAGAGCATAGTGTAGTAGCTACTTTGATATCTTCAGGAATACCATTCCA